CCCTTCCTTAATTAACAGCTTGCCTGACATCTTTGAAAATCTTGACAGTGCCACGTGCCAAAGTTCAAAACATTATGACAAAAACAATTTTGAGGATGATGCCTCTGAACCTAACCCATTTAATACAACACACAGAAGAAAACCTACAAACAATGGACAAAGTGCTCTATTCATTGGTTCTAACATTTTACTCCTGTGATGAGTCATGTTGAATAACGAAATACAGATACAATCGATCTGTATACAGGGTCAAAAATGAATGGACACAGACCTAAAGTTTTGGTCAAGAGATATATAGGGATACAAGAAGAATTTGTTTTTACACAATGAATGACAATGTCCTGTAATACTACCTATAACGGTGGTATAAATGGAGACAATGAATGATTTCAAAAGAAAATTGAACGAGTGAGGTTACAGCAGACAATTGGAATGAAATGATTTGCACTACAGAAATATGTCATAGATTTGATAGGCCGAATGGCCTCCTCTCTGCCATAATGTATTTATGAATAAGGAAGGTAAAGAAACTGCTTTGAAATACAGCATTGTCTTTTTTTCATCTTTTCTCATGCATTTAGTGTTCAAATGGCTTTAAATACTTCCTGACAAGCCCGCAAAATAGATACATATTTTACATTATATGATGCATTTATTATGACTTAAAAATATTTGAGCCATCTAAAATATTCCACTTCAGCATCAAATTTTTCATTTGGCATCATGGATTTGATTCCATTACTACTTGGAAGTCCATTCCACACTGTCCATTGTGAACAACTTCCTGATACCCATTCCAAACGTGTTTTATTTTTCAAACTCTGTGGTTCCTATTTCTACTTTCAGCTTAATTTAAAGCAATTTTCAGATTTAGCTTTTTACAAAAATTTTACCAAGTTTAAACTGCTGTATACTTCTATAAAATTACCTTTCAAAACATCTTTCAAGTCTGAGGAGTTCAAGTTTTTCCAGCCTTCACAACAGACCATCCTTCTGATTCATTTCTGCACAATTTGTCTTGGTGGAGATAGCTCAAAGTGCATCCGACCACAGTGCTGTGCAGTCACAGAGTTGTAGAGCATGGAAACAGACCCTTCAGTCCAACTCATCCACGCTTACCAGATATCTTAAATTAATTCAACCCCATTTGCTAGCATTTAGCCCAAATCCCTCTAAACCCTTCCTATTCATATACTCATCAAGACACCTTTTAAATGTTGTAGTTGTACCAACCTCCACCACTTCCTCTGGCACCTCATTCCATGCGCACACCACCCCGCGCGTGAAAACGTTGCATTTTATGTTGCTTTTATATCTTTCTCCTCTCATCTTAAACCTATAGCCTCTAGTCTTGGACTGCCCTACCCTGGGAAAAGGACCTTGACTATTCACCCTATCCATACCCCTCTACTAGTTTGTTCTTCACCAATAGTTTCTAGCTAAAGTTTTGTAAAAGTTTTAGAAGCTGTTGGTTTAAGCTATCATTACATGCAAGTTCCCTCCTCTTGCCCTTGTTGCTATCCCAATCATAAAATTCTGTCTCTGGAGGAGCAGCAAGAACAGGAGGAAGGGAACTTGTGAATGGAAAAGCTGGGGCGGCAGGCGTAAGATAAACAGAATCTCTGAATGGAGAAGCAGCTATAGTTCTCTGAAACTCACTGTCTGCTGTCAGTACCCAGTTTCATTGAATGACAGCATAGTTCAGTTTTTTTAAAGTCTAACTGCAAGGATGGGGACATAAGTTTAAATGGTGGATTTTGGAGATGCCAACGTCAGAAATCAGCAAGACCACTTGCAAGCACCAGCATCACTCCCCCAAAATGCTGCAATGCTGGGTATCACCATTCTTCACTATCAGTAGCTATCAGAGAAGTTCTGATGAAAATTTTAAGCTTTAGTCAATGCTCATGACAACCAGTGCAATGCTAAGGTCCTGGTAACTGGTTTCTGGTCTTTTGAGTACTATAATGCTATTGTAATTAATGGGACTGAATTGTTGCTGTTTTCAAAATCTTTAAAAATGTTATTTGTAAATAATTTATTCTATTTTATCAATTTATTTGGCATAAACAAAGTTCTATTTTATTGTTAAAACTGAATTTGCATGGCATATTTGTGGTGGTGAGTTAAAACTAGGTGTCGTCAATGTACCTGAGGAATATGACACTACTGTCAGATGATATTTTAATTAAAGAGTGGGCCAAGGATAGACTTTTGGGGCACACCAGAGACAATAGCAGAAGGGTAGGAAGGAAAGCCAGTACAAGTTAGTTAATCTCTGATTATGACTAGCTTGGCAAGAATGAAACCATGCAAGGGGAGGCCCAATCAGGTGGACAATGGTGGAGAGGGGATGTAGGATAGTGCAGTCAATCATTTCAAAAGCTGCAGATAGTTGGGAAGAATAAGAAGGGATAGTGCCACATTTATTTAGGTTGTCATCTGCCACTTTAATCAAGGGTTATTCTGCAATTAATTTAGTGTAAAAGCCTTTCTGGGAGTGTTGAAACTTGACCATGTGGGAAGGTAGTACCTTCTTCAAAGAGCTGAAGCATGAATTGCAGAAGGTTCAACAGGTAAGTAAGGTGGCAAGTGGAATTTTGTCCTTCATTGCTAGAGGGATTGAGTTTAAAAGCAGGGAGATTATATTACAGCTGTATAGGGTGCTGGTGAGGCCTCACCTGGAGTACTGCATGAAGTTTTGGCTTTACTTGAGAAAGGATGTACTAGCACCAGAGGTGGTGCAGAGGAGATTCACTAGGTTAATTCCAGAGTTGAGGGGATTGGCTGATGAGGACAGAGTAGACTGGGATTATATTCATTGGAATTTAGAAGAATGAGGGGCAATCTTATCGAAACATATAAAATTACAAACGGAATAGATACAATAGAAGCAGGAAGAATGCTTCCACTGGCGGGTGAAACTAGAACAAAAGGGCATAGCCTCAAAATTAGGGGGAGCAGATTTAGGACTGAATTCCTCATTGAATGTTTTTAAAGCTAAGATAGATAATTTTCTGAACAGTAAAGGAATTAAGGGTTAAGGTGAAGGGTGGGTAAGTGGAGCTGAGGCCAAAGAAAAAAAATCAGCCATGATCTTATTGAATGGTGGAGCGTGCTCAAAGGGCCAAATGGCCTACTCCTTCTCCTGGTTCTGATGTTCTTATGTTCTTATGTTGAGAGAAAAGGAGCTAAATTGGCAGTTTGCAAGAGGTCGTGTCCATGGTTATTTGAGGAGTTGATAACAGCAGATATGAAACAGAAGGTGCCAATATTGGAGAAGGAACAAATTACATTATCTTCCCTTCCTTGGAAGGTCAGTGTTGAAATATTTGCTGATGACTGCACGATGTTCAGCTATGTTTCTGACTCAATAGTGAAACAGCCCTTGTCCATATGCAAAAAAGCAAAACAAAACAACATTCATGCTAGAACTGACAGGTACCATTTAATGTTACTTGCCACCAGTGTGGCATGAAGGACCATCACCAACAAGACATAATCTAAACATCATCCTTGACATTCAATGGCATTACCATCACTGGAACCTCCACTATCAATATCCCTGGGGTTACCACTGACAAACAGCTGAACCAGACCAACCATATAAATACGTGACTACAAGAACAGGTAGGAGGTTGGGATTTCTACAGTAACTTGCCTCCTGTCTTCCTAATGCTTACAGTTCCTCATACCCTGCTTCCTGCAACCATTCCATTCCATCCTGAAATTCTCCATGCCTTTGCATCTGTTCTGACGTTGCCACCTTCCACTGGGGTGCCTCCGGCATGTTCTTCAGCTGAGGATTTCTCTCCACTGTGATTGATAGGACTCTTATCTGTGCTGGATCCCTTTCCTGCACGTGCTCCACACACCAGCATTCAAAAGATCATCGTCTGCCATTTCTGCTACCTTCAGTAGGATTCACCATCAAACATATCTCCCCCTTCTCTGTAAGCATTCCACAGAGACCATTCCCTCTATGCCACCCTGATCACTCCTGTATTGCTCCAAACAGTCTTCCCCCATCCCCCACCAACATGGCACCTTTCCATGCAATTGCAAAAAAGTGTAACACACCCCCTCCTTTCAAGGCCCCAAACCCACTTTCTAGGTGAAATGATATTTTACTTCTACTTCTTTCAATCTAGTCTATGGTATTTGTTCCTCACAATGAGGTCTCCTATAAATTAGTGAGGGAAAATGCAGACTAGGTGACCGTTTTGCAGAAAACCTTTGCTCTGATCTTCCAGTTGCTTGCCAGTTCAATAAACCATCTTGCTCTCATGCTAACATTTCCATCCTGGGCCTGCTATAGTTTTCCAAAAACATGTAACATCATCAGGAGGAATAACACCTTATTTTCCATTCAGGCACTTTACAGCCTCTAGAACACGACAATGAATACCTCAACTTCAGTACATGATCTCCACCCTCCATTTTATTACCTACCCAGCCCCGTCACAGCCATGTCTTGTTATTTTGCTCTCGGCAGACTGGACCTCTTTTTTTCCTTTCCGCAACTATTATTTATACCTATTTTAGATCTCAATCCTTCCTTCCCACCATTAGCACACCCGTTGTCTTTGCAATGGGCATCCTCACCTCTGTTCCGCTCACTCCTGCTCTCCCTGTATACCATGAAACCATCACTTTCCAGCCTCTTTCAGTTCTGCAAAGTCTTATCAAACTCAAGCCATTAACTCTGTTTCTCTCTCCACAGATGCTGCCAGACCTGCTGTGTTTTGCCAGCATTTTCAAAATTTATTTCACAAATAAAGTCAGTGACCTACCTCAAGACTAATGAACAAAATTGGATTTGGGTCAGTTAAGTAACAGCTAACCCATCTCTACAAAATAACAACTACAGGAGGAGCTGGAAAACGCTGTGTAATCAAGATCCAGTATGAGTGCTTGAAAATACTTGAAAAGAAGTAGTGTATGTGCATATATGTGTGTGCTCATGCACATATATGCACACAAAATATGTCAATATCGGGTAAATTAAACTTCATTGTAATTTATTGGTAAGTATTAAAAGTTTGGCATTTCAACATGCTTCAGTACTGATCAACAAAATATGAACTACTTTGTATTTCAGAAACAAAAGGCTGGGTTACTTACAGATGCCCTTTTATTTTGTACATGCTCATAAGTAAGGTAAGGATTGTTGGGAAATTGAATATTTTCCAACTTAATATGTAGGTCAAATATAGTCAGGACCACAAGAGACAGAATCCTTCTTACATTATTCTGAAAATATTGCTCAACCTTGCCCTTAATTGGATGAGCACAGCTTTCCATGCCTCCTACAGTGAGGTGGTATGAATGGAAACTTCACTGAAACCCCACAAACTACTGTTGCTAAAATTTATTTATTTATTTCCCTCTTCTCTCTCATCCATGACTAACTTGGTTCTTGTGAAGTTAAATGAAAGTATTGTACCATACATTATAACCTCACACCATCTTGCACATTTTTAGTTTCAATGTACCTTGTCAAATACAGTCTATATAAGATGGTGTAAACAGTGTTCTCACTCATTAATAGGGCATAAATCGTGTCTAAAGCAGTCATTAATCAATCAAAAATAACTTCTGAGAAACAAAAAAAAAAAATTTTTTTAGACATCACTTCAAACCTCTGTAGTACTAAAGCAGAAGTTAACCACCAAAACATCATTCAGCTTTCAGTACCATGACAGCTCCATCAGAAGTGCAACAAAATAAGACGTTTCTTCTCTTGGTCCGAGGAGAGAGAAGTTTTCACAAAAGTTTAAACAAGTGCAAACAAATTAATGGCAAAATCCAATGGCTTTGCAAGAACTAGAAATATCCATGATGGCACCCTGAAGGAAGGCTTTATTTTGTGGAGTTCTTTTTTGCCTTGGGCTTCACAGTACGCAAAAGTTGCAATCTTCAGTGATCGGATTCAGATATTTTCTTCCCTTTCTTGCCTCCCTACAGAATCCAAGAGAGAAGAATTACATTTAAAATTGACACCTTTTATGGAACACTGCAATGATTATCCTGTCCTATTGAAGTGCATAATAGATCAGAAGATATGTTAATACAAAACTGTCTACTTTAAAAGGTAGCAGTGAGTTCCTCTTTATATTATCCATCAAAACTACTATCTGATGTTTTTGAGCCAAGGAACAAAACCGTAATTTGCTCTGCATTTTAGCTCTTTTGCGGAACAAGTCATAGTTGGCAATTTCTCGTGCAAAGAGGTGGTACAGAAAAAGACAGAATAATAAGATGTTTTCAATGGCATTCATCTCCAGACTTTTTCTCTTGATTGAATTTGACATCTTGTCAGAATTCTGGGTTGGAAAAATGTGCAACATGGCAATAAGAGTGGGTTAATTTCTAGGAGAGTTAATTTCTAGGAATTTCGCCCACGTTGATATCGCAATCACTGAAAACATCACACAACATTCACTACTGTTACATTACAAACTTTCTAAAAGCATAAGGCACAGTGATCAGAATGATTCAGGCACCGAGGACACGTTTTGACCAAAAAAAAACCTTGCTGAATAACATCTAAAGAGTTAAAAAAAATTTCATCACACCACACCTCAGGCTTTCAACATGGATACTGCATGGATTTTATGACTCACAATTGTAAATCTATTCTCCAACACTTAAATTTATCCATGGGAAGGAAGCTAAGATTTTATCATTCATAGATGGAAACCTCTGTTCCCAACAATCAGCCACTGAGCTTCATTCCCTTAAATGAATTTGGAAGGCTGGCAAATAGAATATTGAAAATAAGATTGCAGGACATGTAAATAATGGATATTCCTGGCAACGTAGGCATTAAGGGTGAACGTTGATACCATCTGTATATTGAAGGAGTGAAAACTCTTTCTTTCAATCTACGAACATCACTACTTTTGATAGTATTGATAGGAATATTTTGCAGATTATCAATTATACCTCAGATATTATGCAAGTTGTTGCCTTTAAAACCTCAGATATTATGCAAGTTGTTGCCTTTAAAATTTCAGGTATTGGAACAGAAGAGCGCACACCAAACTTTGCATAAGGCACCGAGTTTACATTTTTATAGACTAATCAGTGACTACATTTTAGCCTGAAAGCAACAAGTGATACAAAAATAGGGTATTACTGTTCCCTCATTTAAGCAGTACTGATTGATGGCAATTTCTGGAGCTTATCATCCAGGATGTCTATCAGTAACCACCTTTTTGGAGAGGTTTTGCTTCTGCACATGTGTTTTTTTCCTTCTTGAGTCACAAGCTCAGGGGAATAATTAATGCAGTGATCATAAAGTTTCTGCTAAGTATTTATTTCTGCTTCATTCTTAATCTTTTGTCAAGATAAAAGATAGCATATATTGCAGTTGTATTTCCATCAGCATGTTTTACCTTTACCAGAGAGAGGATAACTAATTTGAACAGGAAGCACAGAGTACCATGAGATAATTTGCTACTTCCACTTGACTAACAACTAGCATTAGGAGGCAAATGGTAAATGTCAAATATGGTCTTGTAATGCAGGAGGTGATAATTCACAATACGATTCAAATAGTTAACAGTTACTCGTCTTTCAACACTACAGATATCACTTTGATTAGCATTTTACCTGAAATTTTGTTAACTCTGCTTGTAACAGCTTGACCTTTGATTTTTCTTGTTCCAGAGCTGCATGCAGGCTGGTAACCTGGATAAAGAGAATAACATCTTGAATGAGCAGCAGACATTCAACATTCACAGCCTTAACTGTAAGTAAATGAAAATAGCTCAATCACGCTGATATCTGGAAATTCAGAACTTAATGTGAAACTTGATGCTGGGTTACAGCACCAATTCTTTCAAAACATGGAGATTTCTTTAAAAAGGATAAGTGTATTTCATACTCGTTGTTCATTCTGGCACATTTGTGCTCACTTGTCATTGTAGCAGTCTAGAAATGGGTAGACTCTCACTGGAGCTGACAATGTGATAAAAGCTGATAAAATTGATGGAATTGAACAATGTATCAGCTCTCACTTCCCTTCTTACCTTTTACTGAGATAACAAGCAGAATGTGCCATCTGCAACTAATTTCTGACTCCCTGACAATATGGCACTGGACTGATAACCATGAGATTCAGGATGGCAAGTGGCCTTTCTGATTTGTCACATTCTGAACACAGCCAATGATTAAAGAGCTGGTGTCAACCCGTGATTTGAGCTGACATGTAAAACTGAGTCCTCAATACAGTAATCTTTGAGGATCACCATTAAATTCTTTAAACTGTTTGTGAGATGATACAGAGAGTCCCTGGCAAATGCCTTAAAATCTTAGCCTGGATCCTAAGTTTAGAAACTCTGAACTATTTGACTTGAAACATATCCTAGAGGTAAATGTGATCTAATGTTTGCAGGCATTCTGCACTTCTGAGATTGATCAATGGTGATTAAGAACAAGATTTGTTGTTAAGTTTCCTCACTTATGTTGCAGACCAGAGTGAAACATAGTCCCCGATGTCAATCGGTGTGCCATGGCACATCACAAGGGGAGACATGATCGGTGAAATCTTTGCGTCTATGCTTCCAATCTCCTCAGGGTGTTTATTTTTGAAGCCAGTAGCTGCAGACATTTGTCACTGTATGTGTGCAGAACAAGGGAATTCTGTTCGGTTATGCATCCTGTGTGCCTTGACAGTAGAAAGGTTTGGAACCACTGCTCTACATGACATCAGCTCACTTGATTTTCATTTAAAATTCTGTTAAAATGTGGAGGGATTTTAAACAAACATAGGCATGTTCCTTACTTAAAATCAAGTTCCCAAACTCCAACATAATGGCATGAATTTCAGCCAAATGAGATGAAGTGTCACTGGATCATAATTATTACCATAGTTAACTCAGGCTATGCTTTTATATTCCCTGTTTTAAGCAGGTCATTGGTTTGTACTAGTTTATTAAACCTCAATTAACAAGGCACTATTCAACAGTTTGTGATCACTGCTCTTACCTGTGAGGTTAGTTCGTTCTTGATAGTTAAGAGTTCATCAACTTGTAAAAGTATGTCTGCTTTATCTTTCACTGAAATGCAGGGGAAAATATAAAGGTATATCTCTGTAGTACCGTAATATTAAAAAAGCTTTCACACCACAACTGAAATACTCCTAGAGGCATTCTAACATATTAACCCAATTCTTATTGATATTACATAAAACACATGCCACAAGAACAAAGGCTATCCAAACACCCATTGAAAAATTGATGTGATCAGATTAGCCACCATCATGCTACACACAGATTTATATCAGTGGGAAGTTAAATGGGCATTGTACCTCATCATGCCAGCAGACATGGGTTAAAATTGTACCCTACATGCCAACATGATGTTCAAGTGTTTGTGTGATACAAGTAATGAATCCGTCCAACATGAAAATGAAAATCATATTGATCACTTCAACGTGTAGTTTACATCATAAACATCGAACAAAATGGGGACTAAAAGAACTGATATCAAGAGCAGGAAAAAGAATCTACATAAATACTCCTCAAAATTTCGTCATAGTGGACTGTGCAGAAATTAAGAACAGGTCATTACATGTCAGAGAAACCAAACAGCAGAAACTGCTAAACAATGGTACTAACCAAGATTCTGACCACAATGTAGAAAAATATCAGAACAATGAGAGCAAAAATGTGAAAAAAAAGGAAATAATTAGTGGTGGAGGGGTGGAAAGGGTGGGGGAGAAAGAACATTTTATGGCTCGATCTACTCAAAAAGGCATTAACCAACATTTCTTTAATTACACACAAAGCTTCTTCACTGCCATTAAACTGTACTACGTAGACACTTCCTAATCTCTTAACCAACTTTGCCACAAGCTTTGTTTTGGAGTTACCAAAAAATAAGAACAAAATGGAATACTGTCAAAATGGGGCATGATTGATGTCTACATGTCCTAGTCTAATTATCCTGCACGCTCTAACACAGTTTCACTTGAAGACTGCACTTGACCTTTTCCGATGCCTTTGGAGAACAACTTATTTATACTAACTTGTCAGATAAGAAGTAGTGTTGACCTTTTGGCATAAGAGAAAAACAGTAAAAGCTAAACAGGCAAAAATAGAAAGGAAACTAGTGAATAGAGGTGAAGATCCCTCATTAAGCAATCCAGACAAGGGTCCTGATCAAGATATTAAACATACTCCTTGGTGATTAAGTTTCAGTTATGTTTGTTTGTTTAAGATTTGCAATGCAATTTGAAATATGCATTTACATTATTTGCCTTTGACAAACTGAATATATTCTGTTGCTCATTTCTTATGTTATATTGTCATTACAAGCTACTCAGTGAATCAAAAACAAGCTGGTGGATGTCAATGAAATTAATGGTTCAATGATGGGCTTAATCATTGGTATTAAGTATTAACCAATCATGAGAATTACGATTGCGATCAGGAACAAAGTATGTTAAAGACGCCAATTAAATATAAGAGTCAGTAGAGTATCCCTTCTGGACTCGAGAAACCACATTTAAAAAAATGTTAATTCCATTGAACAGTCAATAAAAATGTTGAGTTTATTCTCAACTTGAAATAACTTGTACTGTACTTGTGAATGGTGCAGTGGGAGAAGATCTTTAAATACACTAACCTATAACTCAAAAGGGTTATAGCACTGCTCAGATAACACTGATCATTGCTAGCATTGGAGAATGGAGAGAAGTTAAGTCAGAGTGAAGGATAAAGCCACATGTAGATTTCTTAATTTCTCCAACAGTGCTTACAATTCATAATTAATCTCCAATCCAAATTGTCCTACTGTAGGACATTTTAATAGTTCATCTCAGACAGTGTTTCTTTAGCTGGTTAGTGAGTGAGGCATGGAGATTAAAATGTATGGAGTAATCTAGAAATGGTGATGAGGGGCCCGTTTTTTTACTGTTTAAAAACAATTATAGGGTTAATGGAATTATCAATTATGTGTGCATAAGTGGTACAGCAAGTTAGCCAAATAATGGATATGCAGTTAATGCCAAGCACTGATGCACACCTTGCACTAGACTGACATTACCTTTGCAAAAGCATCATTTCATTATCTTTCACACAACTGTAATGCATTGAATGGTGTGAAGTTGCTATATTTTATCAGTAAATACAAACTGAACACACCACGGCAAGCAAAACTCATCAACTGATTCAAGTCAACCAACCAGATTTTCTCATCAGGGTAAAGCAGCTGGAACTGGAAGCATGTTAGTACAACACTGCCCAGATCCCACTCCCATTCTTGTCACCAGCTAGTTGTTTAGTGGGGGAAAGGGGACAAGTTGTAAGCCTGTACACAGCATTCCCACCCTGCTTGACTACATTGCCCAGGTCGACATTTTAAACCCCTCACTATTTTCATGGAGTTAGACTCCCATGTCTGGAGTCAAGAACATTTTGGTAGGAAGGTCAAAATGTGTTTATAATGTCACTTTATAATGTAATGCTTTCCAAGTTAAATATACTAAATAATTATGCTTTGTTCTCAAAAGATCAGTCATCAACCAGCACTGCGAAAGGAGAAAAGTGTTCAGACACATTAGAGTAAATTATCCAATGGAAAAAGTGGCCTTCTGCATTGAACAGTATTAATATTCCGATTTGACTGTGTTATCTATCCTGCGATTTCAACTCTTAACTGAATGGCAGCTCAGGTATCTATATCATAGAATCCCTACAGTGTGGAAACAGGCCCTTCGGCCCAACAAGTCCACACCGACCCTTGGAGCATCCCACCCTGACCCATTCCCCTATAACCCACCAAAGCTACATATCCCTGAACACTATGGGCAATTTAGCATGGCCAATCCACCTAGCCTACACATCTTTGGAGTGTGGGAGGAAACTGGAGGAAACTCAAGCACTCACAGGGAGAATGTGCAAACTCCACACAGTCGCCAGTGGGGGAATCGATTCTGGGTCCCTGGCGCTGTGAGGCAGTAGTGCTAACCACCGAGCCACCGTGCCGCCCTAAGAAGAACGTGCATTCCCTAACCGGGAAACGAACCCAGGCCACGGCGGTGAGAGCACCGAATCTTGACCACCTGTACTCCTATTTTAAATTTTGAATAGATATCTTAAGTCTTTCACTAACTTCAAAGGTTTTAAGTGTTCAGCTCTGGAAGTTTTGTTTATTCTGCTAGGCAATGGAATCCCAACACAAGTGCTTAGTTGAACTCTAAATCCCACTAATATATTCTGCTCAGCAGGAGTTGTTGACATAGCTGTCAAAGAGGGCTGAGATTTTATTGATCTCGACAGTTTTCAGATTACTTAACAGGATTTCTTAACAGGATTTCTTAAAACAAAATGGGCCTTGAATGGCATTTGCTTATCTTAACAGCTTTGTGAGTAGAATCATAGAGAGGTATAGCACAGAAACGGACCCTTCGGTCCAACTCAGCCATGTTGATAAGATATTCTAAATTAAGCTAGTCCCACGTGCTAGAATTTGGCCCATATCCCTCTTCAACCGAGATGCCTTTTAAATGTTGTAATTGTACCAACCTCCATCACATCCTCTCGCAGCTCATTCCATACACGTACCACCCTCTGTGTAAAAAAGTTGCCCCTTTGGTCCCTTTTAAATCTTTCCACTCTCGCCTTAAACCAATGTCCTCTAGTTTTGGAATCCCCTACCCTGGAGAAAAAACCTGGACTATTCACCTTATCCATGCCCCTTATGATTTTATAAACTTCTTTAAAGTCGCGTTCAGCCTCCAAAGTTCCAGGGAAAATAGCCCAGCCTATTCAGCCTCTCCTGATAGCGATTCCATTTCCAAGGAGCTATGAACGTGCACTCCAAGGTCTCTTTGTTCGGCAACACTCTCTAGGCCTTACCATTAAGTCTAATCCTGCCCTGATTTTTCCTTCCAAAATCCAACACCTCACATTTATCTAAATTAAACTCCATCTGTTACTTCTTGGCCCATTGGCCCATTTGCCCATTTGCCCATCTGACCCGGGTCCCGTTGTACTCTGATGTAACCTTCTTTGCTGTTGACTACACCACAAATTTTGGTGTCATGTGCAAACTTACCTCCTATATTCACATCCAAAATCATTTACATAAATGACAAAAAGCAGTGCACCCAGCACCGATCCTTGTGGCACACTGCTGGTTACAGGCCTCCAGTCCAAAAAGCAACCCTCTGCCACCACCCTCTGTCTCATAGCTTCAAGCCAATTTTGTATCCAAATGGCTAGTTCTCCCTGTATTCCATCTGATCTAACCTTGCCAACCAATCTACCACGCCTTACTGAAGTCCATATTGGCAATGTCCACCATTCTGCTTTCAAACCTTCTTCATCATTTCTTCAAAAAACTCAATCAAGTTAGTGAGATACAATTTCACACGCACAAAGCCATGTTGACTATTCCTAATCAGTCCTTGCCTTTCCAAATACATTAAAATCCTGTCCAAGAGAATTCCCTCCAACAATTTATCTACCACTGACAGCTCACCAGTCTATAATTCCCTGGCTTTTCCTTCATCCTTTCTTAAATGATGGCACCATGTTAGCCAACCTCAAGTCTTCTGGCACCTCACCCATTGCTATTGATGATACAAATATCTCCTCAAGGGGCCCAGCAATCATTTCTGCAGCTTCCCATAGAGTTCTAGGGCACACCTGATCAGGTCCCATCCTCATAAACATCCCAGTGATCTTATGGAATTAAAGAATTCTGCATATCATTGATGGTGCATAAATGGCATGAATGATAAAAGATGGGCATGGGATAGGAAGCATCCTATTCATCTACAAAACTTGGCCAATTTCCCAGCAAATAGAGCTACAACTTCAAACCTGACTGCTTTGGCATCTGCCTGCCTCTCCTCCCACAGTGTGGGTTAATTCCCCCAATGCTGAGGGGAGAAATATGCTAGGTGGGCATGGCAAGGAGACAGGACTGCAATGTCAGGAAACGGTTCACTTTGCAATTTCTGCCTTAAAGGGAAATTTTAGCTTTGGGTCTGTAAATTAACTGTTACAACTATGGAGCCCAGAGTCATACAGTACAGAAGAGACCATTTGGCCCATTGAATCTGCACTAACGAAAAACAAAATCCATCACCTATCTACACTAGACCCACTTTTCAACACTTGGCCCATAGCCTTGAATGCTACAACATGAATGCACTTTTTAAAGGTTGTGAGGTTTCCTGCAGTACTGTCCTCCTAGGCAGTGCATTCCAGAGTCTCATCACCCTCTGGCCTTTGGGTAGTATTGATCTTTAGTGATTTTAAAAATGTTAAGTATATAATTTTTAAAAAATCCTTTGTTTCTTTTCCCTTTAATTCAACCTCCTTCTCAGTGTTTCTGTTTCACTGATTCTTCAGTCTCACTGATTAAAGACTGACTATTTGTCATCCATTCATTCAGATCCAAATGCCTAGTTTCCCTTGCTGTGTTGTTATCAACTTGTACTTTCAGCAACTTACTACAAAAAAATTTAGATATCCTTGTACAACAAAATTCATCAGATATGACAAATTTAAGCAATTTAGTATGAAATGTTTTAAAATGAAATTTTTACAACTCAATAGTGGTACTGGAATACAATGGTGTGCCAAATAGCTCTGGAAGCTTGGACAACTGAAAGACAAGTATTTTGATTTTAGTGAAGCGTATCAAGAAATATGGAGCAGAGACAAGTAAAATAGGATCAATGTGTAGTTCAACCATGACCTAAATTAACGGAAGAGTACACTTGAAAATTCAACATTCCAAGCATGGAACATCACTGGTCAATCTGCAGACCTTACAAATATTAATACGTATGTACTTACTTTCACCTTCTTGTAGCATCTTCAAAAGTTGAGCATTTCGGACCTTTACTTCTTTATATTTTGCCTATTTAGAGAGGAAAGCTGGAAAACATCAGTGGGATGCCTATAAGAACATGTTTAAAATACAACAGCAAAACTTAAAGACTTACTTCCCACTGCGTAACAGTTTGTTTCAATTGAAGAATTTTCATATCTTTCTTTTCCAGTTGATCCTTTAATTGTTCAGTTCTTGCACTATTGGAAATAGCTTCCTGTTAATAATAGAAAAAAAATCTGTATTTCTCTTGACTGCAATGAAATATAAAGGTTTCTGTTTTGAAACTTCAACATCATACAAATCAGCAGGCCTTTAAAAACGGTGGGGGGTGGGTCCTTCCCCCATTTCTAACAGATACAATTTTTGCTGGCAGTGGGGAGGTGTAAGACATGATTCACATAGGAGGAAAACCTGAAATTGGCAGGGCCATTTGAACTTATGCTCAGTTCAAAAAGATTCTATTTCTACTGTTCCAGGGGCCTAAACCTGCAGTGTGGGAGTTATGAATTAATAGAGAAAACATAAATCCTCTTTAAGGGTGGATCAGATTTAATTCGCACAATCTGAAGAAAATTGTCAGTGTGTTTTAAAAAGCTTGTGCTGAACTAACTGAATGACAGACTACTTGGTTTTGGTTAGAAAAAAAAGTTCATGGAATTACAAAGGATTTTTGTTGTCATTTACTGTTTACTATGGCTACTGCGATAAATGCTTGGCTGAGTTTCCAAACCTACCATTATCATTGTAGCGGTTTCTGTGTTCTTGGTTTGATATTTTAAAGACTTTTTTTAAAGAAGCAGCTGACTTTGATGTTGTTATTGAAGAGAGAAGTATAACAACTTAAGATTTAAAAGGTCCGAATGGGTTTCACGAATAGAAGCTTTTCATAATCAAGTGTATACGAGTGACAGCTTCTGAGGTCAACCCAAGCTGGATACTTAGTGAGTGGCAGTGGAGGTGGCATGGTGGTACAAGGGCCAAATGGTAGGTGGAGGCTTGAGTTGGCAAGGTGGGGAGGTAGGAGAGATCTAGGGTGAAGTCTAGTTGGCCTGACAGCCTCTAAAACATGCGGGGAACTTTCTAAACAGCCTGTCTTGGTACTTAACTGCTCCCCCAGAGCTTTTCCCTGCCTCATCAGTGAAATTAGGTCCTGAAAACTGAAGCAGGTATGCTAAGTTGTGGCATTGCCTCAATTTGAGCTCCCTACCTTGAGAGCAAAAATCTAGCCCTGAGGAGCATCCTTCTGCAATGCATCAATATCTTCCACGTTAATCTGCAACTTGGATGTCAAAACTTCTGATCTATTAAAGAACGAGTTCAACACCATGATTGCTCGCTAATATATCTGAGATACAGATTTAGATCCAGTTGCTACTGCTTGCACAGAATCCTCAACTGTGCAAAATACAACTGCTTTTTTTCATGGTGGCGTGAATTTAAACTGTTAAAAAGTCAGCAATATGTTCTCCTTCAAGCATGTGTAGACCCCACAGTTACCAACCTTCCAGATGACATTTTTGCCCTGTAGTATTAAGCTCTAGTCCTCAAGCAATTCCTTAAATGGAACACCAGTCATATGGAATACAACCAGTCTCTGGCTCACCACAATACTTATTTGGGTAATTCCTGAGGGAGGCTTTAATCAGTAAACAGAAATATGTGGTAAGCAGCTAACAATAGCGTTTCAAATCCCAAATAATGGACAACACCATGGGGCTAGCTATTACCCAAGAAAACCATTTTCGTAAATACATACTTGACTTTCTTGTGTAGCGAAATCCAGTCCATTTGTATTTGCACATTGTTTTCTTTTCTCCATCAACAAAATTTTGTTTGCATCTTCTTCTAGTTTATTAAAGAAACTATCCTCTTCTGTTGTTGAATGTAAAGATTTTGGCTCCTGGATACAAGATTATAGTAGTCAGCCCAAAGCTGGCACAAAGTATTCATTCTTAGCCAAGTTACCATCAAACCAGGTTTCAATAAATGTCAATTTTGAATATCTTCGATATTTCACAGAAGCAAAGAGCTCATTAAGAGTTATCCAATTAGTCCCACTGATTTTCCCCATAGCCCTGAAATATTTTCTTTTCCCATTTTCAAGTATATTCCCTGTTCAAAGTCGCTGTTGAATTGGTTTGCAACACCATGCAATGCATTCTAAATTATAACTCACTGCATATAAAAAGGCTCCTCGTCTCCTTCTAGATATTTTTGCCAGTTCAGCTGAAACTTTGTCCATCATTTTATTAAAAAGGTTAGAAAAGTAAAACCCAGGCATTATAAAATCAAATTTATTTTTGAGAGAGATTACAAATCGCGCTAGTGTGGATTATTGGCATGAACTACTCAGGCTATTAGTTTATGGCTAAGTTGCATACCTCGAATTTTTTGTTTGTCTGATCTAAAGAGATAGAAAATGGAGAGTTAATATGGTATATGAAAGTATGGCAATACATTTCATGCGCTAATTTGTGGCTAGTACAAGTGATAGAAAGTGGCTCGAACTATACATTAGCATGTTTCAAAATTCCACACTAGCTTTCTAAAGCTTATTTTTACAGAGTTGAAAATGCTGCATTTTAAACATCTATCAGGAACACTCTTAGTATATAAAATAAAATAAAAAATTGGCTCGTGATTCAGAAGTTAATACATTTGAGATTCGGGCATGCCTAACGATTATTATGACAACACCAGTTGACAGTTACTGCCTGAGTAATCACATGGGAATAACATTTCTATCCATTTTGATAATGCTATATTACAGGGGAGGAATTCTTAAAAAAAAAAGCACAAGTCGTACATGAAACATGTCTGACTGTTATTTCGCACCATTCCTCTTATTGACTGATTAAACCAAGACTGTGAAATTCTTTATGTGCCAATCATTTGCAGTCCAGAAACAGGCCATTTGACCTAACAGATTCATGGTTCTGTTTGTACTCCATTCAAGCTTCTTTGCATCCCTCTTCATCTAACTTTATTAGGGTATTCTCCATGTTTGTTTATCAAACTCTTTTATGAAAAGGCCCAAGTATCCCCATGTGCTATCACCTACACTGTGCATTCACAAACACAGGCAGTAAAATTTGAAAACCAATTGACCTAACAAGCATACCACTATAATGAGGGGAAGAGCTTCCAGGCTATGAAAGAGAAATAAACAGATCATCATTTAGGATAAGTGTGTATGCGTGAAAATCAAAACATAACAAGCATATTGAAACGTGACTGCTGCTGAATCAGGGAATTAGATAATCCTGGGTATCAAACCAAAGATGCACAGCAATACAAGAAGGAGAAGAGGTGAAGGTCTCAGTTAGAAATGTTACCATAGTCATACAGCACAAAGATTTTCCATGAAGAAGTGATCCAAACAAGAAACCTTTAAATAGAACTGAAAACTGATGAGATTGCATCATGTTACTGCAAATATATAACATACTATTGGTTTCCAAACTAGGATTGCTATGGTTGGAGAGGTAGTGAGGGGGGGAGGTGGACATAGAGAAAAAGACAGACAAACTGTGTACTGATACAGTGAGATTATCAATGAGATGGAAAGTGGATGCTGCCTATTAATCACAAACAGGTGACACCACCCCAAGGCCTCCTACCCTCCCTCGACCTCTTCATCTCCAGGTGCCGTCGAGACATCAATCGCCTCAACCTCTCCACCCCTCTCTCCCACTCCAACCTCTCCCCCGCAGAACGTGCAGCCCTCCACTCCAATCCCGTACTCACCATAAAACCTGCGGACAAGGGAGGCGCAGTTGTAGTATGGCGCACTGACCTCTACATTGCCGAGGCCAGTAGCCAACTCTCCAACACCTCCTCCTACTGCCCCCTTGATCATGACCCCACCCCTGAGCACCAAACCATCATCTCCCAAACCATCCACAACCTCATCACCTCAGGTGACCTCCCACCCAAGGCCTCCAACCTCATCGTTCCCCAACCTCGCACTGCCTGCTTCTATCTCCTTCCCAAAATCCACAAACCTGAATGCCCTGGTCGACGCATTGTCTCCGCCTGCTCCTGCCCCACTGAACTGATCTCCAACTATCTAGACTCCATCTTCTCCCACTTGGTCCAGAAACTCCCTACCTATGTCCGTGACACCACCCACACCCTCCACCTCCTCCAGAACTTCCAATTCCCCGGTCCCCAACACCTCATCTTTACCATGGACGTCCAGTCCCTCTACACCTGCATTCCCCATGCAGATGGCCTTAAGGCCCTCCGCTTCTTCCTGTCCCGCAGGCCCGACCAGTCCCCCTCCACTGACACCTTCATCCACTTAGCCGAACTCGTCCTCACCTTCAACAACTTCTCTTTCAATTCCTCCCACTTCCTACAGACAAAGGGGGTAGCCATGGGTACCCGCATGGGCCCAAGCTACGCCTGCCTCTTTGTAGGTTACGTGGAACAATCCCTCTTCCGTACCTACACCGG